TTTTATTTATCACAGAGCTTTAAAGCATGTGAGCTTTCCTTTTCTTTATTATCTATTCAGTCAAACAAAGGGAATAAAAACATACAAAAGACAAAAGGTTGGGGCTTACAAAAGTAAAACTATTAGAGTTATCAGTAAACCCATCATTCCGCATCTCGGCCATAACAACACGTGCCTTTACATATACCATCCAATGTACCTGTTAACATGTTCATAACAAACTTCCAGCAATCTTGAAGTGCAGTACCTGTAATTCGTACCATACCTGTACGAGCACAAACCGTTGTGCGCCTGGGTGTCTCACTCATTTCGGAATGAAACTGCGAGCCGAACACATCACAAGTTTCATGACATCAATCCTGACGGATTACAAGCAGTATCAAAAGTGAGAAAAGTCCCGGGTCCTCACCAATACAAATGTAAACGCCCTTGTGAAAACCTTTCCCCTAAACACAATTTCCAGTTGACAACCCTGTCTGAGTTCCTGTTAGGTGGATACCGGTCCAGATGGGGGAGTCAGGTTGGCATGGTGCTTCTTTCCTCGCCTTCCACCTTAGGGGGCCTGGGTTCGAATCCGGCTCAGTCCACATGTCAATTGAGTTTTCAGTCCCTACCTGAGTCGATCTGTGGCTTTCCCTGAAACATTTATCTGGGGGTTTTTCTCCCATCTCTAAAACTGAACATTTCTTCATTGTCTGCTTCGGTCATTATCATCCTGTAATTACCGCTAAATGTGCTGTTGGATGATCGGATGTAAATAAATAAATAAATAAACCCAGTGTCTCATCCCAGGGATAACTCTTTTCCCAGCCCAACTGAAGGTTCAGATTGCATCAGTGTTGAATGCGTCAGCTGCTCGTAGCCAGGCACAGAGCACAAGATCACAATGAGTGAGAGAACACGCTGGCCAAGTCAAGCTTAGAGAGAGGGAGAGAAAGAGAGAGTGAGCGTTGCTCACAATTTGCTGCTTTGTTGCCGATGTAATCTAGCAAATGAAGTAGGCAATGCCTCTGAGGTACTCGATGCACAGTAGCAACGACCCAGGAACTGACTGCCTAAAATGAGAGGTTAGTCCCGTACTCAAACTGTGCCACACGACCTAGCTTTTGTGTTAACAAGTCTGTCTTTTCCCCTGGAATGGACAGAAACTGTGAGGAGCTTGCTTACCAGAATGCAACAAGCAAAAACAAAACGAGTACAAAATGCTCCGCTCACTGAAGTCAGATCAATGTTCTTGCTGTGCTGTCACATACGGTTTTGGTAAATACCAGCAAACACTGACTCTTCTTCCGACTTCACAGTACATTCTAACTGCCCCTTGTTGGAAAAGACCGCGGGGTTAATTTCTTACAGTTCCTGCGTTCATTCTCCTGGGAAATTACAGCAAGTTTCACAAGTAATCTCAAACCACTTTCAGCAGTTTGCATTTGCATATTAAAAAATTGACAAAAAATACCCTCGCTTTCCAGCAAGGTACGGCACTGGTACAAACTGCTTTACCCTACTTTCAAACATTGGGTGGAACCTCACTGTGACAGTAAGGTCTGGTTCAAAGCTTTCAGAGTGTCCGCGGTCTTAAGACAGGGATTGGGGCCAATGACACTACAAGTCAAAACACAGGATGCGGCCAATGGAGGCTAATTACTCCATGGTTATTTTCTCAGTAAGGACCATGCAGGGACGAAAAAACATTTTGCCTGCGCTGAACAAACCAGCAGAAGACAGGAGTTGACGGTGAACATCAGCAAATTCCTGTCACATTGAGAGAACTGGCCAATTCAAATTCTTACCATTTTATCGTTGATTGTTAATTTTTCCCCATCATTTTCGTCTGATTACAAGAAAAACTTGTGGCAATTACACTCATGAACGCTTCCAATAAGGGAATAAACAATTATGTACATGTATGTGCTTCCAGGCCAGTCTTCAACATTCATTTCAGATCGGATTCGGAGAATGGATGTTGATAATGCCAGAGCCAATGGTGAGTTCGGCGGAATTATCAGTGCCAAAGAACATCGCCTGAGAGGTATCCGAATTTATTCCCATTCATAAATACACAAAAATAATTGTCTTCAAAAGATTTTGTTCAACAATTATACCGGGTACTTTGATTTTTTTTCAAACATCCGCTAGACACGTTATAACATGTAGGTGCATTGTACAAAGATGTTTCTCTTGCAAGAAGTTGTAAACAATCTCCTCATTATAGAGATTTGCGTGTACATGCGTGGCACGTACAGTGTGAGGTGGCACACAGCCAGTCAGTGCTTTATCAACTTTTTTAAGACCAGCCACATGACAGGCTCTTGACAAGAGGGATGGCTAAACCGTCTTAGGTATTTATGAAAGGTGATTTACTTTGACAATTCTGGTTCTTCATCCTGTGCTTTATTTTTATCTAAGCTTGTACTTTCTGGATGATTCTCTTCAAATTTAACTTGGGTCATTCGATAAATTGGGGGTTGCAATTTTTCTGCGTCCCTTTCACATCTGACCACGAACTTTGCAAGTTTGGAATACGGTTGGAATTTTTTGATTTCTACAACTAATTATTAAAGTAAAGTAAAACACCTGCCAAACAAATAAATGCAGCTCAAAGTCAATTTCACTATTTCCACGTCAATTTTCACAGGTCAGGTGTAACAGGGGCACCAAGACTGTCACGCTTTTGGATCATGAATTCATAGAATAGAACTGAATGCGCATGTGTTATTGAGTGGTCTCTTGGCTGTCGTGTGTAGGCCAAAACACCGCCCTCTTCAGCTCCTGCACAAAGTGAATACGAAGTCAACTGGACTCTACTGACCCTTGAGATGCTCCCCATGGCTCTGTCCTATCTGGAGGTCAAAGAGGTCAATCCCCAGTCTCTTCTTCATGCAAGCTGCCTTGGCAGATTCAAACTTAACCCCCCCAACAAACAAACCCCCCCCAGTTGCTTGGTTGCCAAGTTTTTGCTCCCTACACAGGAAGCATTTCATGTAGGCTCATCATTGGGAGTCTAGACATGGAACTGATGCACGTCTAGACGTGGGTTGTTTTGCACAATCTCAAGGAGGAACGAAAAAGGCTGGATATATTTATGTACGGCGCAGTGACGTGAAGGACTCACCGAAAACATGAGAGAAAAGAACGACGACACACCTTCTAGAGACACAATGTATGTCCAGTGACAGTTAAGGATTTCAAAGACTCTTTATGCCAACATATATGACCTCTAGAGAATTTACCGGTACAAAGTTAGTATCAAGTGAAAATACAACCACACCAGCAAGCTGACAGGGACAGCATAAAATTTCTGTCGACCATGGGTTGCCTTTTGTGAGGTATGGTCAAAGATAAAGATGGGAGAGGCGTCCCCAACTGATACTTTCTCTCGAGTGCACATTTCGCTGCCCATCTTTTTCCCTTTGCACTGAGCCTTTGGCAAGCTCGTAAAGTAATGTCTTGCATGAGTTGTGGTAGGCCTGCAGACCACTGCCATGAAGCTGGGGCATACATGTACATGTATCATGCACCCTGTACCATTCTAGAAAAATGCCAAATTTGCAAAGCCTGCTGCAGTAAAGTCTACAGTTGGTCGCCAACCTTGCACAGCACAAAGTTCTCACTGAATGACACAAACGTGCTGTGTTTTAATAGTAACTCTTAGTTCAACTGGGCTAAAACTTTACACTTGCAGGGAGCATGGTTGCACCTTTGTTGAGACTAAGTTTGAATCAAATCTGTAGCTGGCTGCTGTACATGGAAAAGACTGAAGGCCATGGTAAATTCTTCTGCAACAATGATCTCATCCAGGCATTCCTTCCTCGGACGAATTCGATAAATTGTTTTCAGATCTTGGTTGTCTGAACATCTCAAGAACTTGGGAACTGCAGAGGAGTTAGTTGGTCATCATTCTCTCATCAATTCACCATCTACCCGATCACCAGTGACCTTTACACAGAAGCTGAATGCTTGCCAACAAGTTTTATTTTCTGCCTGGGATTAAGCTCCTATAACAAGAATTTGTGACCCCAAAAGGTCAAGCTGTCAAAACTTTGAGGACCTCGAGACAGGTGCAAACTGTCTAGCGGTAGAGACCAGGGAGGGATGGGCCCGATTGAAGGGGGGAAGACAGATTGGAGGACATGTTATGTTGCTGTACATGTACATGATCTTGATTTCTCCCCAGTAAAACTATGATGGGGGGGGGTTGACAGGACGGGGCAGTCTGATTGCAGCCTGCCCCAGTCAGGCAGGCTCCAGCATGCCTAAAGTTAGGATTACTCCAGCCTGCTATCTCCAAAAGCAGGGTTGGTCCCAAGGGAATCCCGCTGGATGACTCCGCTTGGGATGCACTAAGCACAAACTGGCACAAAGAGCACTTTTTCTTACAGCACAGTTCAAGTTTTCGAGTATGGTGACTTCACACATGCCACATTACTGAACAACATCGACCAAATCCATTGTTACGCTTGTCTCGTGCACTTACCATACGTCATGTGTGACTCTTAGCATAACACTGGGACTGCCACATTGTGTTATCCTACATGTATTTATGATCATACCAGCACCTTCTTTCCGGAACATTTTTTTCCCTTCTTCTTATGAGGAGTGGCATCGCTACCGTGCATCAAACAGATTTTAATTTGCTATTTCCTCCCTCCGCTGCAATTTTCGCATCAATACCGTGATGCCATCTATGGGCATGCTCAGGAGGGAATCTGTATTCCCTGAGCGACACGGTTGGACAAGTCATTCTGAGAAAAGCTTATTATCAATCAAGAATGCGACTTTGGGGAAAAAAAAACAGTTCAACTGCCGTCAGCAAACCGGTTTGAGAATACATGTAGGTGGCCCGCTGAGCTAAAAAGGCAGCAAAAAAAAAAAAGCTAATGGGGACATTAAAAAACAAGAAACTGCCATTTCACTCTATGATACATGTAATTGAACAACAGAAACATTTTTCATTGATTTGAAAAGCATTACAAAAAAATAAATAAAAAGCCGCCACTTACCAGAGTAAAGCTTCTCCACTGGCAAACAATACCGGTACCATGCTGGGAATGGTGTACTTTGAAAGTTCTACATCGGTCACATCTGGGGAGAAGAATCAATCAATTTGATGTTACATTGAAGCTCTGATACTGGTATTTTCATGATGAGAAAGGCAACAAGATTTCAACAGTTTTTTTTTTAAGGGAAGGGTTGTCAACGGTTTGACAATGTTGCTTTTCTCTCATGTTCAAAAGAAAAACGTGCGTTTTGTTAAATTCACGTACATGTATCCTACCCATTAAAAATCCCTGAAACAGACAAAATGAATATTTCCTGTTGTTGGAACACTGAGGCATGCAACTATGAAATCAGGAAAAAATGAGGAAGTTTTAAAATCTGCAAGACGACTCTGGACAATGTTTTTAACTGCCAGCAACGATGCCGGTGGTCTAGAAATGAAGAGTTCAGCAGATCCTAGGGAGAAGTTGCTGGCCTGACAATTGGCTGAAGTTTCCTATGGAATCCTCAAAGAGGGAAAAGACCAACATTATTCCCAAAGGAACTAAGGACCTGAAAAGTCGGAACCAGATGATGGAGGTCAAAGGTGAAACCACCTTAGCGACTTGGAGGACTAAATCTCAAACAAATGCAGCAGCAGAAGACTGACATGTGCAGAGATACCACACTGGACGCCGGAGATGTTGACTTTCCTTAGATGAAACAGGTGGTAACCGGCATGAAGCAATGTCAAGGGAAAATGGGGGGGGGCCCTTGGTCTAAGGAAGATTTCAAGTGAGGGTAATGGCAAAGAAGGGCACAATAGCTGCAGGATAACTGCCGGTATATTTCCCCCCCCAAAAAAAAAGTGACCCAAAAATCATCTCTCTCAGACTTTCCATAATTGTACCAAGGCCAGCATAAGAAGCCTCTGGCTATTTTTCAGGAATGCTATCCATCTCTTTCAGCAACTGTATGAAACTTGAACGACTTGGTTTTCATTTCAAGCTAAAATTCAGAGAGCCATTCTTAACCTAACCAAACCATTCTGAATTTAAGAGGACACGATAGAGACAAACACTGGCCAAGATGAAGTGTCAAAAGAAAGGGAAAGAAACGATCTACATGTACTGTAGCCCCCATGCCAAAAGCCAGAGGCCGATCTCCAGTCCCGGGGAAGTCATCCCAGGCCCACCCGCACACTTGTTAGTCCTCATCAGCGGAGCGACACAGTGATTGGCCCAGACGGGACCAGGGAGACTGTAATTGGTAAAACTGTTCTGGCTGATCCACGGGGCAAATCGTTGACACGAGCGCCAAAATCCTCACAATCCCTCACAATCCGCTCCACGTCGATCTCCAGGGGACTCTTTTTTAGGGGGTGATGGGATGCAAGATTCAAGCAGAGAATGAAAGGATCACCCAGAATTGAGAAACAAATGATAGTTTGGAGAAAACACTGCACAGTTAACAGGTATCCTGTTAAAGAATACATTCACAAAGGTCTCTTCATGAAAACCAGGGACAGTTTTGATTTACAGCACAGCAGTTAACAGACGTGTTGCACTCAGAAAATCTGTGCCACATTGAGCTTCATGCATACATGTACATGAACATATAGGTTTTAGTATATACGTGCTTTGTGTACATGTATCATGTACATGTAGATGTGACAAATGTACACTGAGATTTCTACTGGCTCCAAACCCACATCTTTTTACAATTCTATCATTTCTATTCAACATGTGGACACTACTGGTGTGAAATATCCAGAGTTCCATGACAAATGCATTTTTTTGAATCGATCAAAATTTGATATTTCGAAATGTGAAAAGGTGATAAGCTGTGGAGGTAATGTGTAAGTAACAGTATGGTTCATCCTACTCTGGGAAAATTACCAGGAGGGTCAGAAAACTTCGAAACATGTACAGTACGTGTGCATGAAATATTGTTTATGGTAACATCTACTGGTAGCCGACTGCTTAGAGATGATGAACACCACACAGGGTCCTTGATAATCCCACTGAAGGGCTATCAAAGGTTGGGCAGTGGGTTCAGGCCTGGGCAGCCAACACGGACACACAGCTCACCTCAAGCCAGATTGTGGCCAGCTTAAAGGACTGTCTGGCTAAAGAGGGCCAGTGAAGTAGCATCCACTAGTGCTCTTGACCTCAATGATGGCCACGTGGAATATATGACATGTTTATCGTGCCAAACGTCGACCAAAAAGTACAGATCTGATCTGATCGGTAAACTTACGTGAACGATGTAGTGCGTGGACTGCTTAATTTATATTTGAATAAAATAATGGCCAAAAACGCAGAGCAAAACCTAGAGGAAATATGACAAAGTATCTTGGCTTCAATGGTGGCCCCCAACGGGTCATGGTGGTACCAATGATTGGCCAAGTTTGAAAAGGACACAGCTGTCTGTAGCTACATGTACAATATTAATAATTCCAGTTTATACTGCGCACATATCCTCCCTGCCGGATGCTCAAGGCACAGCATTATCATTATCCCTGTACATTGGGCTCACAACAACGGAACATTCCTGAGACCATCTCAGCTCCCTGAGGAGCATACTAGCTGATATCGAGCACACGGCTAGACCAAATCTGCCCTCACAGGTACCCATTTTACTCCTGGGTGGAGAGAGGCACATGGGGGTAAAGTGACTTGCCCAATATCAAAACATGTTGCCACCAGTTGGATTCGAACCCCGACCCTATGATCAGAAGCTACAAACCCTAACCGCTTCGCCACACGTCCCTCATGTCTGTAGCTACATGTATAAGCCTATGACTGTGGCATGCTAGGGAACAAATTGAAGCTTTTAGTCACAAAAACAACTGGTTCAGACACAAGCGCCGTCTGATTGGCCACAGAAAAACCATGAGTACAATAAAAGGAGACATGCACTCTGTCCAGGCAAGTGAACATTCACTGGTGCCCTGAAGTCCCCTGGTGATTAGACAGAACAAATGGCAGGTCTGTGGTATCAATAATTAGCTGTTCTCACTGAGAGAACATAAACCTGAATTCTAGGTGCAGCTCTGACAAGGAAAAGGGCATGAAGACCTTGGTTTGGACACCTTCTGAATACCTGCATGTAAAGAACCCTTTGTGTAATTCCACACAGCTTCCAGTGTACATGTGTGCACACGCCTACAGGCTATTCTTTTGGAGCTTAGACAAAGCTGAAGCTCTGAAAACGCCTACACAAATGAAAAATTGGAGAGCAGGATTGGGCGAGCCTGCGACTGCAGTCTGGCAGCACGGGCAGAATCACCCCAGCCCTCCCCCCCCGACTGGTAATTCAATAAAAAAAAAAAAAAAAAGCCGAGGAGCGCAACATTCAATTGAACGGCACTATATATATGACTCATGCGCACCCCGGCAGTCTCAATGTACTGGCAGGTTCCGAAGTTGTTCCCATCAGCCGGGTTCCCGGGGGACCGTTTGCCAGCGAGACACGGTTATTGAGGACGTTGGACGAGATACATCCCGGCATTCACAAGACGGCTGAACAGGCTGAATCAACCCATGACAAAGGGTTTTGGCTTCTGGAAATCACACACACACAAATCTCTTGCATGGGACACCCTCTGCTTGCTTTCTTGCCAAAACCTCTCTTGTTAGGGTAATACTGTCAAGTAATTCTACGGTTATTTATGAGTTGGGGAAGCAATTTACGGGCTGGGCCAGACTGTAGACTTATAAAAAACCTCACTCCTTAGTTTTTCATTCAGGGTGTTTCCTTTGTGGGGACAATTGAAAAATGCCTCACTCCAAGATGTGACCATATTAGCTTGAACCATGGAGATGTGTTTTATTTCTCCATGCTTGAACATGGAAAAAAAAAAAATCCAGGAGTCATCTGGCTGTATTGTCTGCCAGAGGCCCTGCAATATCCCCAGGGGGAACAGTCTGAACATGAGATATGACAGATTGTGGAAACTTTTTACTAGTGTCAAGATTTCCTGCACAACAAAAAAGCCCATAGAATTGAGCAAGAGGTGACTTAGTGGTTTGAAAGACCAAAGTTGGCAGCAATTTGACAATGCCGGCAGTGTTCAAATTGGGAAAAAACCCTCTATACCACTGAGCTGGAAAGTAGAACTTCAAGAACCCAAAAATGGTTTCCTCAAAATGAGGTTTTTTTAACAAGTACCAGTACAAGTACATGTAGAAGAATCACTTCTCCAGTTCAATCTACGTGTACATGTACATGTTGATTTGCAAAGAAAATTTACACATTGTACACAAAACTAGATAAGTTGATCAGATATTTCAAAATCGGCAAGTCACAGGAATTGGTCATATAATTTATGGTATTCATGAGCTTAAATTACATGTACAAGCCCACCCGAGACACTGTATGTATAGGTAAGTAGACATACAGGGTATACTGTAACTAATGCCAAACTGGTCAGCAGAGGGCGCAGTTTCCAAGACTCAAGTAAACGCGTCGTACCGCTTCGTACATCCTCCTCAGCCAGGTCTATTTACTGAATGCAAGGAAATTAACACATGCCGAGTTCCCGATGGCTCCCCTAACGAGGAAGTGGGACATCAATCAGCAGCAAAAGGGGGGGGGATGCTCCTAACCCGATCCAAATTCTCTAACCGACCATGACGAGTAGCAGAGAGTGCCCGGTCCCCTTTGAGTCATGACTTCCTCTCGGCTTGGACGTGTCTCAACGAGTGCCACGGCATCGCGCCCGGAGGGTTATTTTTGTTAAAACTCTTTTCAGTCCGTACAATATTGCTCCATGGACTGAACGCTCACTTGGCAACCTAAGAAACCATTCAAACAATCCACTTGACAGATTTCAAAACTAGATACAATAAACGATGTACGCATGTGACTTGGAAAGCATCTCCCATCAACCAAGGTATCCCAATGTTGCTTCAAAGCAAGTTATCTGTATTACACACAAAGGAACACTGTCTATACTACATGTACGGTGCCAAAAATGTCTACTGCCCAAATGCCAAGCCTACCGGTAGAGTAGACATCCCGCTTACCTGAACCATCTTGGAAAGTTTTTCTTCTTTACAAATGGTGAGCTCTGCGATGGAACCTTTTAAAAATACAAACCT